TTTTCAGCATTTACACTTTTGTTGTAATTTGCTTAGTTTTCGAGATATTTCGATTGCACAACTTGCCCCTACGATCAACTAGTCCCACCCTACCCTAGTTGTTGAAAACATATATTTTTTTGAAAATTTTTTATTGCGATATCTTCCAATCGACTCAATCGTTTTCTATGGGACTTTGCAGCATCCGACGCAGTTTTTCAAGCACGAAAAGATTATTTATTACCTACCAAACGATTTTTCAAAGTTATTCTGTGCTTTCAATGAATTTTCAATACAATTATTCATATAATATTTAAACAAATATTTACAACACTTCCAGCCTATTACTATAGTATGGACAAATTGCATAAACTTATGAGAAGAGACGAATTGTCTCGATGTTTAGTGATATAAATATTTTTATTCACATTTACTTGAATGACATGTCACTAGGCAGACCAAAAAGAAAAAAAAAACAAACTATTAAAAATATTATGGTCGTGAAAAAAAAATATTTATAATTCACTGATGTATCCATTGATTTAAAAATTTTTTCAATTATATACTGAATTGAATTACATATATATATATATATATATATATATATATATATCTATTTAACAGAGTTGAGTACAATAAGCCTGTAAAATCAGAATATATGCTCTTTAATAAAGTTAAAAACTGTATTTATGATATTCAGAAAGTAAAATCCTATAAATTGTAAAGCTTGTCCTTGAATATCGTTTATTTAATACCCGGAAACACAGTAGATTAAAAAAGTCTAAAAAGACAACTACATTTGGTGTTTTAACAACAACTGTTAGAGGTCTACCACAAATCTGGCCAACAGAGGTAAACCACTTGAATGTGCATAGATATTCGACCTTGCTCAATATTTGCTACGCATCTATCCATACCGCTGGTCTACTGTAAAGCTATTTTCGGATCTTTTCGACCGTCGCCGACTACTACATAACACACAAACACTTTTGTGACAATAATACACATAGCACAGCATCCACCGTGACGGTTCAAAAATATTGTGTACATGTGTATTCAACGTTACGCAGATACTCTTGTCATCTCATCATAAATTACCCACTTTAGTAAATTTTATATAAGGTTTAAGAGCACATAACTTTATCATAGCTAATGCACACCAATAGTTGTGTATGGTTTTTCAATTTGGACTTCTTTTTAATTTTTATATTTTATTGTTTATTACTACTCAGGCTTTTTCAATTGTCGATAATTTGATTGAGAAAAGTTTTAAGTGAGATTTAGAAATTAAAATATTAAATTAAAAATTTTGGAGTGTGCAAAATTTTTAACGTAAAAAATGTTAAAAACAAACTTTCTAATTCAGTTGATTTCTAGAAATTGCTTCTAAAACATGACAATCTCACATATTTTTGACATGAAACATAAATGAAAAAAAAATTTTAATTTTTGCGTCGTTTTAAGAATATATACATAGGATCATGTATGAGTTATTTTTTCAAGATAAATAATGCAGATGGCTATGAAAAAATTTTACAATCGCTTTTTGGAAAATTGGATGAAAGGTATCAGATTTACCCTAGAGTAGTAAAATAAGGTCTATTCGTAAGGTTTTTTAAAAAGTTCAATTTTGTGTTTGTTTATGGTGAAAATTACCATTACTTCATTTTATTTTATTGCTAATCCCATAATAAAATTGAGATGAAATGTATGTGGCATCAAACTATTTGTAACGTGATTGGTCAAACATATCATAAGCATGAAAATATATGCAAACTCTATAGTCAAGGCGCGAAATTTTAAATTCTAGTATATTAAAATAGAGATTAATTATACATTTCGATAATTAAATGCAATAATTTCGATTTTTTTCAAAATCTCCCTTAGCTAGGCCTTATTACCCGCCGGTACCATACTCTTAAAAAAAATGGTTTTGGTTAGAGGTTGAGTAAAAACGAGCTCGACCGTTTAAGTCGTGTCAAATACGTTCAGTACCACGGTCATCAAGAGCCTGTTCGCATTTTAAAAGATCTGTTGGCTAGTTCTAGTCACTGTAAATCTTTTGATGGTTTTATTTTGGTTTATTATCTACCATAGAGTAGGTAAAATGAGTGAAAAAAAGGCATTTAGGGAGACTCAGGTCACAATTACCGGTAATATTTGTGTTTGGCACCGTAACACAGCAAGTTAGCTTAGTAGCGTTAGAAACTAAACGAAAAATAGAGAAATATTTAGCTGTTAGTTAAAGGTTGATTATATGGGGCTACAAAATATTACTGATGCAATTGTGCTTATTGCGTAGAAAAAGTCACTTTATGCATTCATAATCATAAATATTATTTATTTTAAACGAACCATGAAAAAATTATATGGGTGTGCTTTTGTCGCTGAAATAGATTTATAAATCCATTATAAATCCATTATATGTATTTACGAAGTCAGTCTCCTATAATGAAATTTTACCGTTTTTAAATTTTGCCCAAAAACTATAACCAATTACTTACATAACAAATTTATGACAACTAAAATTATCAATGCCAAATTTTGTTTCTTAAAAGTGTAATAAATAGTGTTGTCAAATTTTTTTTGTCACAGATGCAATTTTATCTTCAATATCAGAATAATTTATTTGTTTCTCAAATGCAACTTTTGCAGTATGAAACTTTCTTCTGTATGTGTTAAATATATCTCTATTCATAGATATTTTATTCATATAAAAAAAGAATTTTAATTTTTGCATACATATCTAACATTTTTTCAGCATACATGAAAATACATACATAAGGTTTATATGTACTACTAGAAATAATATGGGTGCGCAAGCACTACCTGAATGTAGAATCACATTCAATTTTATGCTTCTGATACCTTTAATCAATCACATAACAAATAAATTGGCTTCACGATCATTTCATCTCAATTTTATTATGGGATAAAATAAGTAATATATAAAAAATTGTTTACACCAAACAAGGTGTTAAATTTAAAGATTATGAATGTAATCGAGAGATGAAGATAATAGTGAATATAGTAGAAATAGTCGAAGTAACAGTAAAAGATAACACCTTGTCAAAAATACACTAACAAAATTTTCAAACTAAAAACATTTCACATCGTCATTTTCTACTACATACTGTTAAAAATTTCTATTGTATTTTTACAAAAAATGTGTTGGAAGTAATTACGCATCACGATTTAGTAATTTTAAAACTCAGTTTTGTAAATTTACTATACTATTTATTGTAATTTAATATAAGAAAATTACAACATATTTGTTGAAATTTACTAAAATTTTACTGAAAAAAAGTTTAGTAAAATTCCTAACACGTATTGTAATTTTACTAATCAAATGATACCCAAGATGTTTAGTAATTTTCGAATGAAGTATTGTACTGATACTATATATTTATTCCATCTATATTTAAGAATATTACACAAAATTTGCAGTAAATTTACTAACTATTTACCAAAAAATGTTTACTTCTATTACTATACACATATTGTAATTTTTTCAAACAAATCATCCTAAAAATATTTTGTAATTTTAGTACATGTGCACGTAGCCGTGTGAAGTCCTCAGAGAGCATTTTTATACCGAAATTTTTTAGAAAATATACACGACTCAGTCTGGTGTAAACTAATTTTTTTTCTTCTATTTTTTCTTGCACATGATTGAGTCTTGTGCAGAACACGAACCAGTCGAGTTTTTATCTTTCCGTATAAGTTTTAGTAAACTAACATTTTTCTCGCACTTACCCCGTTTTCCCTTTCTTTCTTACCAATAATACAACAAAAAATTTCGACATCGAATCTAAATATTTACCTTTTAAAATTAATAGCATAATATTTGTCCCTTGAAGCTTTATAATAATACAAACACTTTATAAATAGCAAAAGGCGCTACATGTACGCTGAAGCAGCTTGAATTCCATCAGGACTTGATTCATTTGATCCAATATTGTCCATCGTAAATTTTTCCACCATACAATAAATTATCTCACCTAGTGTGTTTTTTACAAGGTTTTTTATTAACTTATTTTATATTTACTACAAGCTTAGAATTTTTCCAGCATGTAATTAATTCATTTAAAAAATAATATTTTTTTACCGAAGGGAGCTAAATTTTTTAAAGATTCGTTCCAGTGGTAATAAATAACTCTGAAAAGTAAAAAATAAAAAATGTTTGAGGTGTTGCGGAACCCATAAGGCTTCGTTGCAGCTACTTGTTGGTAGTATTTTGATGAAGTCCTTAGTATTATTCGATGAGCTATTCGTTTGGTGTACCCTGTTAAAAAATTCACGCTAAAAAAATTCTACGGTCGTTATAACTTTAGAACCCTAATAGCGGGTTTATTATTTTATGGAAGTGCTTCATACATTTCGTACGTACACATGTATACCTACACCCATACCTCTAACTGTATTTAGAACTTTAGCAGCAGCCATACCTATAACTACCTATAAACGTCTCAGCAAACTTAGAACTCAAACAGTTTATGTTCCTTATTGCTCTGTCGTCATTTTTAAGTGAGTTTAAGGAGAATTGTAAATCATTTAGAATTTTTCAAGCCCGGTAGCTGTATGCGGACAAACCATAGGTCTTTTTTCAATCCTCGTTTCCTTCGTAAATTTTCTTATTCTTTTTTCCTCAAGTTAATTTTCGTGTTGTCTTCATCTTTATCCTGCTACATTTCTTCGGTTATGTCAGTTCACCGGGTCCTCATACTTCATTTTCCAAACATTCGACCTTCAAGGATTCCACCAAAAGTTACTGATTTTTGCTACCGCCCTTCAAGGTCTTAACTTTTACTGAATCCCTTATAATGTATACTCTTCATGTTTCATCATGATGCAGAAAAAAATTACTACCGGAAAGAAAAATTACTCTCGGTTTTAATTTTTGAGATTAGTCTTACTGAAATATTGGGAACTGACATAGAGGCGTGGCTTAAAAAACATGTCGGAAAGTAGCTTACACTTATAAATTTTTAACCCATGTGATAGTAGGCTAAGTCGCAAAAATGTTATTAAATATCACAGATATATTATTATGGACGGGCAATAATCCGAATCAAAAAAATATTCATGATGCACAACGGATTTTATCTGCTGGGCATTTATTTAAATGTGGAATTAATAGTGAAAAAAGTGATAATAATGTGATTGTAGTTACCGCGCTTTGTATACAAACGTCACACATGAAAGAAAAGCCGCACGAAATAAATGCAAAAATTAGTAAAGCCGGGAAAATAATTGCAATTACTTGCTCTTGTAAGGCAGGATTAGGAGAAATGTGTAAACACGCAGTCGCAACATTATTTTATTGTTATCGGTAAGTTAAATATTTCTAACCTCTAATAGTTGTAACTTTGACACATAACATGCATGTAATAAATTAAAAATTTTTATTTTAGTAAAGGAGATGACTTGGACATATTCTCATGCACGGATTTGAAGTGTTCCTGGAGAACGGCACACACCAATGCCTTGAAAAAATATGATCCTGCTCCAATCACTGATCATCCGTGTTTTTCAAAATCAAAAGTAGACAAATTCTTTCAGAATTTGAATAAAAGTTCATCGAGTAATACACTTGCTGATGATGTATCATCAGAAGATGATTCAGACTCAAATTCGATGATAGCTGATGATAACATTACTGTTATGAAAAAGTCTAATTCTTCTAAAAAATCAAATGAAGGTCCTAAATATTTATTACAAAATCCAACGCCCGAGCAATATGCTCTAATGTTTGAAAAAATAAAACAAGGACTTCCAGAATCGGCTTTTACAAAACACTTGTAAGTATTTCGAAAATTATAATGTTTTCATAGCTATGAAATTACTGAATTTAAAATATAATTCAAAATACTTTTGTTTTTCTTTCTTTTATATAGATTAGGCAAACATGAACCAATAGTTGTGCGCAAAAATAACACTCCAAGTATTAGTGATGAAGAGAAAGCAATAATATCTGCAATTTTCCTTAATCAAAGAACTGAACTCATGGAGGATATTAAAAATACTAAAGTAAACTGCGCACAAGAGTGCTGTAAAAATACGATGAAGGATTATTATGAAGATTTCGAGGCTATTTGTGCTAATACGAAATTAAATTATGCTGATTGGCATAAAGCTCGTAGATTTCGAATTACAGGTTCGGTTTGCTATAAGCTTTACACATACACTAGAAACAAAAAACCTGATTGGAAAAAGCAAGCTAAGGAGTTATTTGATCCAACTAGTTTCACGAGTGAATACACTGAATATGGCAAAAAAACAGAGGCTGAAGCTCGCTCTCTATTTATTGAAAAAGTTAAAAAAACAGTCGTAGAAACAGGCCTCGTAATTTCAAAACAAAATCCTTGGCTGGCTTATTTGCCTGATGGCATTATTTTGACAGATGGTGTTCCTAGTGCTTTACTTGAAATTAAGTGTCCTTTCAAAGGAAAATCTAAAGGTATTATTGAAACTGTGCAATCTGAAGTAAAGAAAAGTCTGAACCAGGAAGAAGAAAATGTCGTTTTAAAAGAAAAACATAAATTTTATGGACAAATTCAACTAGGCATGGCTGTGCTAAATGTTAAAAAAACATTTTTCTTTTTTTACTCGTCATTTGATAAAGATGTTTTCGTAATTAGTGTCGATTTTAATGAAAATTACGTAAAAATTATGATGAAGGCTTTAAAGTTTCCGTTTTTTGAACATTTATTGCATGAAGCGTGTTTACTTAAAAACAAAGATGTAGAAACCAAAGAATAATTTTAATAATAAGATAATAAAGAATAATTTTAATGATACGATAAAACGCGACAGTCACATTGAATGTGATAAAAGCTGCTGACAGAAGTAGTTGCAAAATAGAATTAAATTCTATTTTTTTTATAACTAACCCAAATTTTTGGAGACTGGAAAGACAAAGATTAATAGAAATATTGATAAAAGGATAGATAAAATAAAAATTAATTTTATGTTTTTGTTATTTAATGCAGGCTTACAGTAATACACTGTTGATATAATATTTTATTAGTCATTATTATTATAATAAACATATTTAAAAATGTGACTCCAAAATATAAATTATAATTATGTAATAATTATTGTTATGAAAAAATTTGTATTGATAAAAAATAGTTATTAAAAACATATGTACAATTGATAACATGGTTAACAATTGATAACATTTGATAACTTTAAATATAGGTGAGCTCAAATTTACAGTGGCACAAACAACAGTAAACATTTTATGGAGTTCTGGTACGAGTTTTACTGACATAGTTTCGCCTAAAATTGCAAATGCTTTTATTCGCTGGTTAGATCTCTCAACGTGAACTCGAGCTTTAGCAATTTTTGATGTTAATATAGCTTCATCTTTGCTCAATTGTTTTTTATCTTTCATGAACGGAGGTCTTATGAGTTTCCAATTATTCCGAGCGCAGATTTCTTCAATTAAAAATCCTCTGTCAGTCATAACAGCATCACCAGGTTCTAATAATATCATTAGATCACTTTGCTCGAATAATGCGGTGTCAAGATGTCTACCCCCATAAGGTTTTGTAAAATAGGATATTATTCCTCCAGGAGTGACTCCAGTCAAAATTTTGCATGTCGTCGAACTTTTATAATTTGAATAAGTTAATTCCTGGCAGCACAGTTTACTTGGAGCCTGAATAAAAATTTCTGTGCAATCTATAACGACTCTGACATCTTCAAAATCTTTAAAACATTCCGGTAAATTACGAGAAATTTCTTCTCGTGATGGCCATCTAATTGCAACTTTTAAGCACTTGAATAACATTGTCAATGTTGTCTCGAATATACGTCGACATTGAACAGCACTGCATTTTTTGAAAATTAAAGCTAAAAACACCCATGACACCCAACAATTTTATCTAATATTTTATAAGATTGTATTCCTGTTGCTGTTGAAAAATCATTTTCCGTGTTCAACAAATCCATGAATGTTGTGGTATAAAACGCAGTCTCCACTTGAATACCAATTTCTTTTCCTCCAGAACTTGATGTTACAGGTTGTACGTAACACTGCATTGCTGAGGTATCATCACCATTGTTAATGTCATTGTCCTCCTGATTTTTTTCGTTGTCAATTTCCATGCTAGACACATCGAGTTGATTATTTTGTTTTTTGGTTGATGCTATCCTTGTGTGTCGTTCTAGTCGTCTTTTAAGCCGGGATTCTTGTAGATCAGTATTTTTCGCTCCAAATAACTTAGGTAAATTGCATGAAGGGACTACAGGTTTTTTTTAAAATTTTTTTCCTGAATTATAATCTGAAAAATTAAGAATAATAAATAACTATTCTTAATGACATTTAATTATTTAAAAAGAGCAAAAAATTATACTTTCAGTTTTGAATTTGTAGGTTAAACTTTGAAAACGTACCTGGCAATATATAATCGGTTTTTTTAAAATGTAAAGAGCAAATTTTCATTTGAGGAGTCAAATTTGTAAACATATTTTAAAAACAATTTGTAAGTAAAATATAGATTCTATATATTTATTGGAAGTCTGAAAATTCTAAGATTCTATGAAAATCAAATTTCTATAAACCATAGTAAAAATTCTATTAGATCATAATATAAATCTGAAATTTTACTATAGAGGGAAAGTTAAGAATAAATACCAGGACTGAGTAGAAAGAACTCGTCGAACGCCATCTATCGTGACTTCAATTGAAGGAATGAAAATTTTGAAAAGGTTGACTCTGCAGGTCATTATGACTATTACTTTTTTTTTTTAATTTCTTTCTTCATATTTCAAGAGTACAAGTATGTTTTGTTAGTTGATAAGAATTACAGAGTGTTCCCATTTTTTTTATCTAAAAAATTTACACTTTTGATTTATCATGTTATAATTTGATTAAATTTATGTTTTTGTTATGTTATGTTCTTAAAATTTGTTTGCGAGTAAAAAATTTGTGAAAAACCTCATTAATTTTTTTGTTTTTCTTATATCTATTAAATTTTCCGACATTTGGGTTTTTAGGATTTTGAATAGCTCAAGGATACACCTCTTGTCAACTAAAAATGTCGATATCTATTCAAAACTAGATTTTATTTAACCACACTGAAACCAACAACTTGTCGAATTTTTTTGAATTTATAATTTAATAAACATGTTATAAATTATGAAAAAATAATTTGAATATTTTTAATATAAGTTTTGAACTTTCCACTAAGATAATTTATTTTCAGTTTTTAAATTATAAGAACGAATTGAGATTTTGATTCGAAATTGTGGGAGTATATTTTTAGATAGTTTTACAAACAATTTATGAAATGAAAAAAAATCTAGAAAACGATTAACCACGCAGATCATCCCTGGAACTTCCTACTTTATTCGAGCTCAAAACCCTCGGAATATTTTCTAATCCTAACACGAAGTTTTGAGCTCACCAAGCTCAATAAAACAATTTTTATAAATTTTGAATTCTTCGAGCTTAAAAAACGATCTGACATAAAATTTTGAAGTTATGGAAGAAAGCACATTTTTGAAATTTTTTCGATAGCTCAAAACGGAAAGATCTGTTGAGAATTCGATTTTCGAACATCGGGGTGAAACAAGTAACTTCCCAGTTTTTTAACAATATTGATTTTTATAAGTTAAAAACTAATTCAGGAGTTAAAAGTAGAATTTTTTGAGTCGTTTAAATTGAATCATTCCCTCTCTTTTAAATAATTTCCAGATTTTGTGGCCGATCAGTGTACATATGACTTTATACTACTTTTTTCCCAAAAAATTGTAAGAAATGAAGCAAGCTTCATTAAATTCGAACAATTCGATCAGAAAAATATTATTATCTGAAAATTTTCATTAAATTGCACTCTTGACGTAACTTCCAGATTTTAGAAAGTTCCAAAATGTCCAAAAATAAAAATGATATATTTTTGAACTCATGAATGCATAAAGTTACATGTTCGGCGCATCAATCGTAGTTTTAAATACATTATATAACATAACAAAATACAATATACAATAATCTCAATAATTTAAAATTGTGAGTATTTGGAGTGCAAAACCCTCTTTTTTCATCTTATGAATAGAAGTAGAATAATAACATGACATTTCGAGGCAAAAACCCTCTGAAATAAAGACGTTGCATAACCTTGAAAAATTAGAGAAAATGTTCAAACCTGTACCTAAACCCAATATTATTCAACATGACTTAAAGCGCATAAGTATTAACTAAACGTAAAATTGGAAAGTGCTGAAACGACAATTTACAAGCCAATAATTTTGTTTAAAATAGATGAGGAAGATATGTCTTTTTCCTTAAATAAACACAATAACAAGACATCTTTTGGGCTTTTCTGCCCTTCCCTATTCGGGAGCTAATTTTTATTCTCATCTTTTGCTTTTGAGTTTAAAATTGACGTACAAATGGAAGTTATAGCTTTTAGCTCCTCCCGGTTATGCCCAGCACCTTGACTACGACGGAGTTCAATTCGTTAACAGGATGTCCAATTGTTAACTCAAGCCAACGAAATTATGGAGAAAAAGAAAGGGAAAAGAAAAACTGTCCTTGAGACGACTTACCGGTTTAAGCGAACACTTGTGTAAATCTTTTTATTTTTTTTTCTTTATAAATTTCTATCCTCTAGCAAAAGGAGGAGTAAACTTAGTAGGCCAGTCGGTCAATATTTCCAAAATATTTAGCACAAGGCTTAACCCCCTGCTGGAGCGGCGCGTGTCACGCTAGTCTTACTAACACTCCCCATAGGAGATTTTTTAAAAATCACAACAAGCTTTGATACACATTTTCACCTTGTAAGTATTTTTACTTACTTTAGCCTTGACCGATTCTTCACACAATAGTTTCTACTTCCGTTTCATTTGAACGAAGTAGTTGTAAAGAAAGAGTAATTATGTTGAATAATTAACAGCATTTTTTTTTGTTTAACAATTCAATTTTTGAAGCTTAGAGGCAAGTAGGTATAATAATAGTGCATTAATTTTTTTTTTAAATGTAATATTTTTCAAGAAATGCACTGATTTTTATGCAATCGAAGGCTTTTGACAAACTATCATAAGCTCAGAGATACAACTTGAGATAAAAAACTAATACGAAAAGTGTTTTAAATATAAAAATACATTTTTGCGAATTTTTCGTTAACGATATCTTTCGAATAAATTGAATGATTTTTCGAGATTTTTGAAAATTTATCGGGCCAAATCGATTCAAAATTTTAGAAAATCTGAGTTGACCAGGCCACTTTAGAATAGATTCGTTGGGGCTTAAATCATTCAGATGCAATGGTAAAACTCAAATTTTGAAAATAGGACCCAAGTCAATAACTTCTCAATCTTTTAAAGTTTACAAATTTCTTTACCAAGAAATTCAAAATTAATTAATTTTTTGAAAATACTAATATATGTCTTCAGATAAGCATATAACTAATATAACTTATACGTTTATTAATGTTGTCACTAATGCTATCATTATTGTGACACTTCATAACTTTTAAAAGTAAAAATAATCGTCTTTCTATATCATGTTTTTGAATTTATAATTACTTAACTCAAAAACATGCTTCTAAGCAACGCAGGTAGGTAGGAAATAATCGTTGAATATTGATACAGGCTAGTCAAATATGATAATTTGATTACTTTTTTAACTTCCCGCGAAGAAAATTGAAAATTTTCAAAAATCGGGAAGTTATTGGTTTCACCCCGTTTTTCGAAAATTGAGTGCTCATCAGATCTTAACGTTTTGAGGTCCTAGGAAGCTTCCCTGAATGTTT